GTGTTGTTGCAACCACCCCTCCACCATGTCGTCCAGCTCCTTTGCCGTCGCCCTCATCCCCTTCTCGTGCCCCCCGATGTCCAACCACCTCAACCACGGGATCGAATCTCCAACTGTCGTCACCGCTAGAAGGTCGAAGAATTTCCTAAGTGTCTTCCCAGTTTTTCCCCCTTCTTCGGCATGCTCGCCGAAGAGTATCTGCGTCAGGATGTCCATTATCTGTCTTCTTATCATGTCTATCATCTCAACCTGTAATCAGAATGTCACATACCATGTTAAGGAACAAAACCAACTAAAAAGTTAAATGTGCACTTTTAAACCCAAGAAATTTTTTTATATTTTAAAGGTTTCAAAAGGAAATCTACCTAAAAAAGACTGAAGTATAAAACTTTCTTTGTTTTATCCTCTAAATAAAAGTGTTGGTGGTATGAACCTCCGTAATTTGGCATTATGTATTTTTGATATTAAGTATAAAAAATACTACTCTCTCTCTGAGTTTGATTTACGAGGTTTGACTCAAATTATTTTTCAATTCAATTTATTTGATTATAAGTGTGAAATTAAAAAATTAAAATTATATATTTTAAAATTATATCAAAAGTTTTACGGTTTTACCAAAGTGAAAAAGTAAATTGTATCTGAATGCAAGTAATTAATTAGCAACCCACCTTCACATATCGGCCGCTCTTGTTCTGAGATTCATCGGCGCCGTGATTCTCTGCCAGCCAGGCGCGGTGGAGATCTCCGACGAGGGATTTCAGTCCGGCGACCCAGAAATGCCGGAGCTCGTTGAGGCGGTGGTTGGACAAGAGCTCAACCACCACAACCTTGCGGACGTCGCGCCAGTAAGGGCCGTAGGGGCTGAGTCCGAACATGGCATAGTTGTACCCCATGACCTCCGACGCGATCCTCCCCGGCCGGCCGGCGAACGACCGGTCCTTCACCGTGAAGATCTCCTTCGCTATTTGCCAGTCGCTCACCACCAACACTTTATGCGCTCCTTGCCTGATTTGGAACATCGGCCCGTATTTGTCGGCCATATCTCCCAAGATCAAGTGCGGCGGGCGCGGGTCGGTGAGGAGGTGGAGATGGCCGATTACAGGCCACGCGCCGCTGACTTCCGGCGGTCCGCGGCTCGAGTCTTTTCTTTTGAGAGAGGTTAGTAGTAGGAAAGTTGCAGCCATGAAAGCTCCTGCGAGAAAGGTTATGAACCAATCCATTTTCTTTTCTCTTCTTTTTCAATATTGTAATTGAAGCTAATTAATTATTGTGTTTTGTTTTCTTGTTTCATTGCTACAATTTGTGTGCGTGTGTTTATAAAGAGGTTATAAGATGGGACAAAGGGCGCTAATTTAAGTTAAGTTTGGTATGAAATGAAATGCCACCTCATCACCAACCCTTAATAATCTACATACTCTTTTAGTCTATATCACATTCTCCCTCCCATGCACTCACCTAAAAACAAATGGAGTGTATAAAACCAAGAAAGTTCATGCATATATACTCAATTCATTGTATACCTCTTGCATAAACGCTTTGTTCCAAATTAAGATTCACATCTAACCAAACTTATACTCCCTCCGTCCCAAAAAGATTTATACCTTTCAAAAAAATTACGTCTTACAATATCCTACCAATTTCTATTAAAAATCCACTTTTACTCCTTACTTTTTCAAATCCTACCTATCACATCATACCGTTTTCCTAATAATCTACATATCACATCCTACTTTTACCCATCACATCAAGAGTATTTTTGGAAAATCAACACAAAATTATCCCTTCCTTAATTTCAACTTTAGTCAAAACGTGTAAATCTTTTTGGGACGGAGGTAGTATTTTTTTTCATTTATTCAATTTTAATTCTTTACTTTTAATATTTTTCAATTCCTTCTCGTTTCTTTCAATTTTTCTAGTTTCTTTCGACTTTTTTAGTTTTTCAAACTTCTTCCAATTTATTCTATTTCCTTCTATATTCTTTTAACTTCTTTCAAATATTTCCAACAATGACCTAAAAAATCATTTATGTTATTTTCATATATTATTATTACTCCCTCCGTTCTACAAAACGCTTCCTCTTTCATTTTTTTGCTTTCCACAAAACACTTCCACTTTCTATTAGAAAACCACTTTTATCCCTACTTTTTCATACCTTACCTATCACATCATACCTTTTCACTAATAACCAAACTATCACATCTTACTTTTTTCCATCACATCAGGGGCAAAATTGGAAAGTCAATCAAATTTACATTTTCCTTATTTTTCTCCAAAGTCAAAACCGGAAGGGTTTTATGGAACGGAGGGAGTATTATTGTAGAGTCATTATTATCTCACACCACTAAAATAATTGCGAACAAAGGGAGCAAAGTTTGTCTCTAATTGTACAGAATCTGCCGCGAATTAAGATTTAGAGTGGAATTGAACTAGAGGTGGACTCACTTCTGCCGCTAGTCATGCCCCTGCTAATTTTAAATACAAAAAAATTTGCCGCTAATTTCCTCTAATTTAGAGGCAGAAAACTTCGCCGCTAAATTGTACTCCCTCCGTCCCAAAAAGATTTACACGTTTCAAAAAAATTGCATCCCACATTTCCTTACCCATTTCTATTAAAAAACCACTTTTACCCCTTACTTTTTCAAACCCTACCTATCACGTCATACTTTTTTCCTAATAATCTACACATCACATCATACTTTTACCCATGACATCAAGGGTATTTTTGGAAAGTCAATACAAAATTATCCCTACCTTAATTTCTACTTTAGTCAAAACGTACCCATCTTTATGGGACGGAGGGAGTATGTGATTTGGCAATCCAATTATATTAATTTTATATCAGAACTAAATATACTTTTCTTTCATAATTTGTAATTCAAAATTTTAAAATATGCCTAAAAAGATAAACTGGAAGATATTTTGGACAAAGGGAGTATAATTAAAAAACATAAAAAATAATATGAGGTGACAAATTGATGATAGATTGATTAATGCAATATGACAAAACAATGGACATGTAATTAAATTTTCATTCAGAAACAACATGTATGCAAATATGTCGGAAACTAAAATATACCAAATTGAAATATATCTGAACCGAAATAAATCCAAACCAATTGATATTCGAACTATATCTGGACCGACTTGATACCGAATCAAATCCAGAATGTGTATGGAACTAAATTAAACCCAAACAAAAATTAAACTTGAACCAATCCGAACCGAACCGATTATAACATATATCCAAAAGATATCTGAACCAAATTATTCCAAAACGGAATCGATCTGAGTGATTCGATTGCCTCCACTACTATTAGTGCCACACTACCATCCGTCACTCCAAGCCACCAGAATGTCACCGTCGATCGATGGTTGTTGACTGATCACACTGCCATATATTATACTGTTATTATTTTTTCATCACACTGCCAACATGTAATCTTACATCACACAACCAATATGAGGTCAAATCGAAAAAATCTTGGAATGAGAGATCATAATTAAGTAAAACCAAATCAAGATAAATCATTGACATATAGGCCCCGTTTGGCATCAGCGTTAGAGATTAGCGTTAGCGTTTTCAAAAAGCTATCCGACGGTAGCCTTTAGCGTTAGCGTTTTTAGATTTAATCTACACCATTAAAATTTTATCCAAAACGCTAACGCTAATCGAAAACGCTCTTACCAAACGAAGCCATAATTAAATAAAATGTATATGATGCTTTAATTAATTAAACTAATTTTTTGATATTGTTTTTCAAGATAAATCTAATAAATATTATTCTTGTATCAATATTTAATATAATTTTATTTAATTAACGGTCAAAATTTATCAATTTTGATTGCAAAAAATCAAATCTGGAAAAATGCTCAGGACAGGGGTAAAATAATGTTTTTAACACAATCCAAGATATGGAAAATTCAGTCAATTTATTTAAATAATGAGTATAAAATTTAGACTTAACTTTACATTAAAAAGTGTATTTGTGTCAGTATGAGTTTTTTTATGACTTTCAATGACACAAAGTATCAGTATCAGTTTTTTTTATTTTTTTTATTGCAGTGACATTTGTGTCAGTGTATATCATCAAAGTGCCGGTACAAATTTTTGATGTACAATTCGGTATGCACCAAATAATGTGCAAGTTTTCAAAATGTAGATTTTATTTTCAATTGTAGTGACATCTTAATACTCCCATGTACTCCTTACTTGTACATACATTACATGGACTAAATTTATGTTGTATACGTCCATATACATTATTGTCCTAATTTTTTACGAACCAACCACTAATTACCATCTTCCTCCCACCTACCTACACATACCATGCATATATTCTACTCTTTACCAAGTAATTTTTTCAATTCATTTAACTAAGTCACACTCTCTCCTTTAAGGCTTCATCCATTCTCTAAATGAATAAATAAAAAAATTACTATAAATTTTTTTAAAAAATCTACTCCCTACGTTCCATAAAATATGAGACTTTTGCTTTTTAGGAGAGATTTAAGAGGAGTGTATTTTGGTATTGAATTTCCAAAAATGTCCATTGATGTGATGAGTAAAAGTATGATTTGATGACTAGATTATTAGTAAAAAGGTACGATGTGATAGTTAGGGTATGAAAAAGTAAGGGGTAAAAGTGACTTTTTAATAGAAATGAGAAGTGTTTTTTGAGACAGATGAAAAAAGAGAGGAGGATAACTATAAATTAAAAGGCCGCTACACCTCCAAATTAAAGCAACATATTCAGTACATTGGTTGTCATCTTGAATTGTTTGTGTCCCTCGATCAAGAACAAAAATGGCTGCCAATAACAATATTGTTCCACCATCATCAACCCTTGGCCAAACTCCATTAGTGCATGATGAAGAAGCCATTATTACTCGCCGCTCTGCAAATTATCATCCAAGCATTTGGGGAAACTTTTTTCTCTCATATGCTTCTCAACAAAAGGTAAACAAACAATACCAATATTTTTAATTTACCTATAGTTTATAATGACTTCTTCATTATACTCTACAACTAAATTGCATAATTAAGCAACACATATTCAAGTGAATTGGAATATGCAGGAAGATGCAGATATGCCAGAACTAGAAGAGCATCAACAATTGAAGGAAACAGTGAAAAACATGTTCACAGACACTCCTCAAAAGTTGGAGAAGATGATCAACGACATCCAACGGCTAGGAGTGAGTTACCATTTCGAGAAGGAGATCGAAGCAACACTGGAACGCATGTTCGAGGCATACGATGATCTCAACGCCAAAGACGTGATGGAGAATAATGATCTTTGTGCGGTTTCTCTCCGCTTTCGCCTTCTCAGACAGCAAGGGTATTTTGTATCTAGCAGTAAGTGTTAAGGGTATTTTCCATAATTTGCGGTCAAAGGGTTTGACAAAAAAAGGTCGAAAACATGAAGCTTTTTCTGGGACGTAAGGGGTATATAATTGCATGCTTGCTTATTGCGCGCAGGTGTTTTTGAGAAATTTACAGAGAGTGATGGGAAGTTTAAGGAATCGTTGATCGGCAACGTGGAAGCAATGCTAAGTTTGTACGAGGCGTCGAATGTAAGGGTTCACGGGGAGAAGATTTTGGACGAGGCCTTGAGATTCACGATTTCTCACCTGCAATCGATGCTTCCAAACATGGCCCCGACGACCCTGAGATCTCATGTCACTAAAGCACTCAAACTCCCAATCTGGAGAAGGCTAACAAGGATTGATGCTGTGGAGTACATACAGTTTTACCAGCTTGATGAGTCTCATGACTCTGTCCTCTTAAAGTTTGCCAAACTGGACTTCAACATCCTCCAAAAGCAACACCAGAGGGAGCTGGGCAATCTTACAAGGTGGTGGAAAGACTTAGGAGCAGCAGAAAAACTGTCATTTGCTAGGGACAGATTGGTGGAGTGCTACTTGTGGACACTGGGAGTGTTCTTTGAACCACATTATAGTGCTGCAAGAGAGTTCTTCCTTAAAATCATTTCCCTCACTTCAATCCTTGACGATATCTATGATGTTTATGGAACCCCCGACGAGCTCCAGCTATTCACCGACGCTTTCCAAAGGTTGGATGCCAGTGTTGCAGAGGAACTACCCGAATACATGAAGATCGTCTACGATGCGTTCCTCGAGGCATATGCCAAGATGGAGGGACGCGGCGGGGAATCGTACCGCGTCAACTACGCGAAAACCGAGATGAAAAAGCTCGTGGGTGCGTACCACGAAGAGGCGAAGTGGTTCCACGTGGGCGAGACGCCAACGTTTGACGAGTACATGAGGGTTGCACTCGGAACAGGCGCTCATCTTATGTTGGCAACAGCCTCATTGGTAGGCATGCCGGAGGATTTCATTACCAAAGAGGCATTTGATTGGCTGAGCGAGGATCCCTTGATTGTCAGAGCTTCTGCAATTATTGGTAGATTGAAGGATGACATTGCTGGACACAAGGTTCATTATCAGAGTACCAATTTAACAATATATATATATATATATATATATATATATATATATATATATATATATATATATATATATAGTTGATTACTTGATGATATAAATATAAATATATATATGCTTTGTGTATTGTATATATGTATAGTTTGAGCAGGAAAGAGGGCATGTGGATTCAGCAGTGGAGCGCTACATGAAGCAATATGGGAAGACAGAAGAGGAGGCAGTGAGAGAGCTAAAAGAAAAGGTGAGTGATGCATGGAAAGACATTAGCAAGGAATGTCTTATTAAGCCATTATTTGCTGTGTTCCCAATGCCCATACTCACCAGAGTTGTGAATCTTGCAAGAGTGATTGAGCTGGTTTATGATGAAGATGGAGATTCATATACCCACTCCTCAAAGCTCAAAGCCATTATCACCTCTGTCTTGGTTCATCCCATTCTCTGAGTCATTCTGAATTTTCACATCAGAGAGTGTTATTTTGTTTTTAATTTCTTGTTTTTTTGTTGTTTGTTTGAATGACTTGATCTATTTCTGCTCTCAACAAATTGAATAATGAACTATTTAGTTCCCAAAGTTTGCTAAGCTGATTTGATTATGATCCGGAACCACAATGTTAGTTATTTTCTTTTGGATCCAGAATTAGGTAAAAACACTTGCTCTACCTGAAATTTAGTTTGTTCACTTGTACCTCATAAAATGTAATGTTGGTGTATCTCCGCGGTGTACAAAATGGAGTACAAATCCTTGAGGTGCAAATAACTTTATCCTAAAATTTTAAATAAATGTTTACTAATGTTGAATAGTGAAAAGTAAACCATTAGAATTTCTTTAATAAATAATGAAGTTATTTAGATCACATACTTTTTTTACTAAGAGAAATGGGGGAAAATGAGAAAGTTGTTTTGGAACAAATGCAAACAATGAAAACAAAAAGGGTGAAAACTTTTGGGGACGGATACACACCTATGGCCTTCATGGGATACTAAATTTATTTTTGAAAATTTGAATATGCTCAAATGAGTAGTCAAACAAACTAAAGAAATGTACTTAGATAAGACTAAAATATCAAAATTATATACTCTATCAAAATAAGATTTCTTATACGGAAGATATATTTTATGGTAGACTTATGGTCCATCATGGACCTACAAATGATGAGCTAAATAAGTATTTCTTTACTAGTTAAATAAACATTTGTTTTTTTTAAATAAAAAAATAAAAAAAATGGTTTTTTTATGTAAGAAGGTGCACAAAAATGATATGCACCCAAGGTGAACCAAAGAAGCACTCTTAAAATAATTTCAATCAAACATTATAAACAAAAATAGATAATTTAAATTGTGAGGGAGGAAATAACATAAATCTAATAAAAGGGGAATGTAACCGAATATGATTAAGATTGAATTTATTAACCCGAGTTTATTTAGATAGAAATGTAATCATTTACATCAGATGAAATTAGTCAAAATTTTTGAATCCAGCATCATCTTTACAAGTCTTTCTTTTTTTAAAAAACAATTAACCCAAAATTTGTTCTTTTCTCTTTTCTAGTAAAAAATTTTCATTAAAAATCTATCAATCGCATCCTAAAAGTAATTTTTAAAAGTCAACACAAAAATTTTCTTTCCTTAAAATCCCATTAACAATATTTTAAACGAAATTGATTTTTATTGGCATGTTCATTTAAGAGAGTATTAATAACATTTCATACACAATAAAAAAAATTAGGTCTAAAAAAATTATGCTCCATTTTACAATTAGTATTGTGTATTTTAAAATTTAAGTTTTATATTATTAAATGGTACACACTTTGTTTATAGAGAAATACATAGAATTTGGAGTATAATAAAAGTTATTAATGAAGAAAAGGTATAAAATGTTTAATATTTACGTGCTTAAAAGTGATACTACAAATATTAAATCTTTATATATAAAATTTAAGAGTCGACTTCCAAAATTACATGTGGCATGTTTTGTAGACAATTTTTTTAAACATGTCCGCAATCATACATTGACTCGAACTTTTCTTATTATATTCCTTGGAATTTCCTTATTGTGTATTTAAAACTAATTTAAAAAATTAATGATACTCAAATGGTTTTATATTTTTTGATAGACAAATGTTTTTTCATAAAAAAAGAAAATTAAAAAATATAAATTTGATTTTTAAAAAAATTCTAAAAAAATAAAAATGTAAAATTAAATTTCGAACAATGTTTTCACAACATCAACAAAAACAATATAAACTAAGGATTGGAACTATGTATAATAAAAATCATAATAATAAATAGTAGTAGTAACTAATATTTAAAGCATTCGTTTCCTATTTTGAAAAAGAAAGAGAAGTATATAAAAGGAAAAGGACTTTCATTAGCATGTTATATAATGGAGCATTAATAATATTCCATATAGAGTAAAACAATTCTAATTCTAATAAAAGTTATGCTTTAAAAATAGTGTTTTCCTAACTTTTCCAATTTAAAATTTAATTGTTATATTCTTATACGGTACAAGCTTTACTTATAAAAAAAACATAGAATTTGGACATTATAATAAGAGTTATTAATGAATAAAAGGTATAAAAATGCTTAATATTTACACACTTAAAGGTAATAGTACAAATATAAAAAGGAGAAAAAGTAATATGTGATCCTCAATGCCTTTTTATTACTCCGTATAACATATGCCTTATTTATTTTCACATGCAAAAAGAAATCAACGTTGAGCTTAGCAATGATCTCCGAGAGAGGAAATTGTAGGCACCATCGTGAATTCCTCAAAATTATAGTCATATTGTAAAGTTTATACGTTGACCAAGAATATGATATTACATTCATCTACATCTACTTGCGGACATAAGGACATACAAGCTTTTTTGATATGATAATCAAAATTGGATAGAGAAAGTTTGGACAAGTGATTGATGGAATTGGTGACATTGAAATTTCACATAAATTCTTGATTTTAGACACAACAAAGTTATCCGCTCAAGAGTATAGTGGACTTCACTTATCCGAACCTATTGGAGAGTATGAAAACTTATTCTTTTTTTTAGAATAGGGCACTACTGACACTGTTAGGAGCTTTACCGGAGTTTGCTTCGGAAAGCTATTAGGTGACGGGGGTGTGGCGGCCAGAGAGATTCCAGCGGCGCCAAGAAAGAACGGAGGTAAAACCCTTTAGGGTTTTAGAGAGAGAAAGAGATTAAGGGGAATAAGGTTTGTGATTATTGCTTGATAATAATAGGGTTTATCATGCCCTATTTATACATATTCCCCAAGCCTAATTATCTAGGTTTCTATCCTGTCGGTTCAAGGAAAAGCGACGAGGTAAAGAACCGAAAAGAAACCCTCGAAGGAGCATTATAATTCTGCTCACCTAATAAAATCTATGATACAATAATAAATAAATAAATAAAGTTCTAAACATAATCTTCGTAACATTGGGGTGGCCCGACCTTCCTACGCGGATGTCCCGAAGCTGCAACGTTTCCCGCATGAGGACCAATTGTGTCCGTATCAACTCCCCCGGGGTTAGGTACGACCTTGTCCTCAAGGCGTAAGTCGGGAAAGTGGTCACGGAGAGTGGTGACTGGCTCCCACGTCATATGATCATCCAAACCGTCGGACCACCGGACAAGCCACTGCTCCTGCGATTCGCCCGCCACCAACACCACGCGGCTATCCACTGCTGCTATGGGCCATGACACTGGCCTGCCCTTGAAGAAATCTACCGGAAAAGTGGGAACTGGGGAGCTGCCATCACGAGCAACAAATGGGCGGAGTAGGGACACATGAAAGACATTGTGGATGCGGCACCCTTCGGGCAAGCGCAATCGATAAGCAACCAGACCCACGCGCTCCAGCACTTCGAAAGGACCATAAAAGCGCCGAGCGAGCTTAGAAGTGTTGGAGTTGTGCCCTGATGGCCAACTGTTTATCGTTATTCTATCATGTATAGGCAGATATAATATGTTTACACATCTCATGCTAATGTAAACAAATATTATATTCCTAGATTTATATTTAAAAGACGTTTATCAGATAGTGTTCTTCTGCTGATGAGACTAACATCTTGAAATAAGTATTTATCTAAATGTCCATAGTCGAGTATTAACGAGAGTGGGATATCGTTAATGCATGTGAGACTAGTGTGTGTTGGATGTTTGACTTAGTCTCATAGTCAATGACGGTGTGTTCGCATCCGCACATGGGCAGATATTATCTAGAGATAATAGGATGCCGGACTGACCCATCCTAAAGATGTTGCTTGAACTTTTAGTTCATCCTCTAAGCATCTTTAGCGCGACCACGGGTGTAACTATCCTTCGACTTGAAGTATTACGTTTTCTGCATATGTGAACCCGCATACTTTGATGCAT